TTTTAAAAAGGTGCAACAGCCCCGCGCATATCTAATAGTGTTGTTGAATGCCCTAAAAGATACAATTCGGGGGGATGGATTCTAAAAGATCTACAGGAGACAAAAATCCTTTCGGCAGCAAAGTTTACAATATTATAAATCGAGATTATCAAAAGGATGAGGTATTTAGCCTTCGGAGTTTTTATCGTAGAATTTAATGGAAAGCTTGAAAGTCATCTCGGAAATATACCATAATAATTCCGTGCGCGATCGGCGAAATCTAAGGTCCTCCATCGAAAAACAGCGCCTTCAGCTGGCTGACAGTGTTCTCAATGACATAGACAATTTTAAACATGTATAATTTTTGTTTTCTATGCGCTGACTTCTAGAACTTGGACGATCTGTCATCGGAATTGGACGCGATGCTGACAAGTTGCAAAACCATAAACTCTAAGCTTCAGGTTAGATCTGAACATTTGCTTATTTTTAGGCTTCTAAATCACGCATGGAGGAAATAGTTATGGAGACTAACCTCAACCAAAGCAGAAGGTAACTGTCACCTTTTCCTATTTGTTAGGTTGTCAATTAACCTTGCGCAGATGGCGGCGTCAGCATTTATCAAATCTTTCTACATAAGTCCTGAAGACTGGGGTCTTTTAAATGAGCCACCCAGTCAGGCTGTTTCGGAACGTGTGCTGCAGTTACTGCAGCGTGCGCGGACAACACAGCGTTTGTTTGAAACCTCCATTCGATATCCGACAACAGTATTAGCGTGAGTATTGCCAAGCCTAAATATTCAATTTTAGAAAGGACATAGTGAAAGTAACTGCATGCTTCGTTGACAAGGCCTATGAACAAATTTATAACTGGGTCAAAAGTAATTTTTCAATGCAAGTTAACAAAACATTTAGGGGAGGTCAGCGCCCAGTGTTTTGAAGCGATCGAAATTTCAGTTGTATTGCGGAAGTGCCTCGAAGTACTTCAGGAAAGGCCAATTCTTTTCAAGTAATTTCTCCTTCACTTTACTGCTTTTACGTCTTCTACAAGATATACTGCATTCCCAACGTAGATTTACCTCTTTATAGAAGTATCATTCTTTTCAGAATTCGTAATATCTGATTTTTGCGGAAGGCTGCAAATATTTATATATTTTTTACATCAGAAGCCCTCCAGCCTTGTTCTTCAGATTGAGATGTTTCATGACTTTCCTGCGTCTTTAATAAATGTGCTTTATTATGTCCGGCGTTTTTGAGGTTTATATTCCATCTCTACTCATTTTGTTTCGCAAGTATTAGGCTTCAGATTCTGTTTGGTTATTTGTTCATTCGTTATCTCAGTTCAAGATAATTAATGTCGTTTCGATATTATTATTACTATTGAAGTTGCCTAAGTGATCAGTTTGGTCGTCAACGCTGTCTAGGCTCTTCCTTGACGGTTCTATCCTTTCTCTTTTGTGCTCCCGAAATCCCTTTGTCTTTATACGGTTCTATCGCGTTTCCTATCTCCTCGTTCCTTTGAATTGCTATCTATATCTTTTGTGTCTAGAGAGGTTTGTTATCTAAAGGCATTCAGTAGAGTACGTCTGTGCCCGCAAATACTCTAGTATGACAATACCAACTCCCACTTTTCATTTCGTCTAACGATGGGCTGGTGTATCTTATTTGAAAATTCACGAGCACAGATCGATTCTCCGATGAGTGTTCTTTCTTCATTACAATATGATTTCTTTCTCTCATTGTTTCAGTGTTGTGGCCAGACAAGCAGTATAACGTTGTCTGTGATTTTTTCCACAAAAGGCTAATGTGTATGCATTTTTCCAAGTAAGTAGGCCATGACTTTGTTCTCTCGTTATTCGCCTTGCTAATTTGTTGGCCTATCAACCATTGCCTTAGATACGTCCTCGATGAGTACGCAAATGCAAGACGCAAGGTAATTGCTGAAGCCTTTATCAATGCACTGACCGTCGGTTGGAATTCTGGGCCTGGATTTGAATCAGTGGCCACGAAACCCATGGAACTTCAGTCCCATGATCCGCTTCGTTATGCTGGTGATATGCTAGCATGGCTTCATCAAGCAAGTGCATCGGAGCGGGAGTACTTCAAGTCGTTAACTTCAGATAAGGGTATGCCATTGTTATGTATCGTGAAATGTGCATGCGAAATTTGCTTATAAATTATCATTGTATCGACATTTGGCGGTAGGATGTTCGCAACCAGTCCTTTTTACAAAAAATTATATTAGATCTTTCTACTCCACGTACTTGTATTTTTTTTATTTCGCTCTTCTATCAGTCGAGACGGGATTGATGCAAGACTGCCTCAACAACATCACTAATGGACTGGCGTATCCACTTCAGGTACATCAGTAATTTAAGTCTACATCAACTTGTTCAGTTACGTCTGGAACAACTTCTTGTTACAGAACACAGTGCTGTCCTTCTTTACAAGATCAATAATATACTTCAGTTCTATTCCTCCGTGATAATGTAAGTAAAACCGCATAGTCCTCCTTCTCCTTTATTTGCTTCCTTCAAATTTTCACATATTGGCTTTTAGGAACATTCTGGGAGAAAAATGCACCGTCTACGCCACCCTGTCAGAACTGCAGTCCTTAAGCTGGAACCTTTTTATATCAGCTCTTCATCAAGAGACTTTAAATCTCCTCACTGAGGTAGCCTTCATATTTACTTATTTTTCTTTGACATTTCTTTCTAAATTCTCTAATTTTGTGACAGATGTAAAACCCATGATCCTCTGAGGATCTTATGAAGCATATTGTAAACTTTATGAATCCTCTTTTAGTTCTACCTAGCTCTGTTCAGAAGAGAAGCGTTTGTATGCCCGAAGCTTAACCCCTATTTGCTCTCAGTTAATTTATACTAGGTCATAACCAGCAGCTACCGAGGACTGATCACCTGTGTTGGGCTTACAAAATAGTCCATTGGCCTAGTGTTTACTCGCTAAGTAAGGTCAGAATGACTGAGTTTTTTAAGAAGGTATTCAATTGGGAAAGTTAGCTAACACCTAGTGTCAATTTTCCATATCTTCATCCTTGTCTCCAAAGAATAGAAGACTACACAGTTGCAATGCATATCTTTAGACAATATATAGCCACCACCCGTTCGGTCTCTCCGCTTGTTTTACTGACTGATTTGTTTGGTATTTTCGTCTGTCGACACAAAAGGTTTTCTATCTGTAGGAATTTTGCCTTTCCGTGCTCTTGATTAGCGTTGTTCTGGCTTGCGCTTGCCTAAAACTGCATTGTCTTTCTAACGACCTGGTAGAATGAATTTCCTCGGCACGATTTCTTGCCTTCCGTCTCCGCTCTGGAGGCCTGTCGGCTTCTAGAAGCCATCCTCACATGCCAAGACATGTCCTACGCCGCTCCCGATGTTCGTCAGACAAAGTGTGAACAGGTGAGTTTGCGCGTCCGCTTGACTCTGCTCTAGATCTACCACCCTGTACATAGCTGTGTACCTGTTTCGGCCTGGAGCGTCGTAGGTCTTACCCTGGTTTTTTGCCCAACCATCTGAACTACAGTCTTAGAGCTTCGTGTCTTCAGGGCTCACAAATGCAGGGGCTCTTATGAAGGACGTATGTCTTGTGTCTGTTTACGACCTGTTCCCCCTCAGATAAGTACCATCTGTTCGGTTCATAGGAAACGTGGCTGTAAGAAGCCTAAGTCAACGAGGTGGATCCATCTGTGTGGTCTAGATATTGGGAACCCTTCAACGCGTTCACTTAGAAAATGGTCTAACCTGGCATCATTTTAATAGCCGCCAGCCATATGACAGCATATATTCCATTTATCTCTCTTCCTCTGATTCTGACTTTTAAACACCTCGCTAAGACCGTCGTGCGCTTTAATACATATGCTTTTATGTATAAAATTTTATATATTACTTTTTTTTGAAAAATATTAGTAACACTGACATGATTGTTTGGAACAGTTATTCCAAGTTCATTTCCAACGTCAGTCAACCCTAAATTTACCTCAGACAAGAGAACCTAGAATGTTGACCCAGGTTGGGTTCTTCATTGAGCTCCTCACCCTACCAGTTGAGCCATGGGCTCACGCTTTTGGCTGTGCGCATACTTCTGCAACTGCTGTTCATTGCCACTTGCTTGCATACAGTAAATTTCCTGCCTCATGAAATGTCAACCGAAATTCTGAAATGTGTTTTAGGTTCGAACAAATTGCCTAAGCATGCTTTAAAGACTGATTACTGTACAGCCTAATTTCCACATATTTCAGTCACTTCAGGTAGCCGGCTTATGAACGTGCTTACTTTTGATCGCCTGCGAAACGAAAATTCTGTAAAAAAATGGCTACTTCATTAGTATGCATTTTCTCACAGATTTTCATTAACTTTGTAAATTCAAATATATTTTACAGAAACATACACAAAAATACTCCTTCTTAGTACATAGGTGTACTCCGATCTAGTCCAGGATTCACCGACCCTGGCTTGTTTCGTCTGGTGAGGTGTGGACACTTCCACTTTTTCTCAAGGACGAAACAATTATGTTACTCGCTAACTTTAAGCCAGGGTTGGTGAATCCTGGACCAGATCGGAGTACACCTATGTTCTAATCTACATCCCGATCGACAACTGGCAAGACGTCGACCCGGTAGCTCAGTGGATAGGACGGTCGTCTCTAGCTCAGTTGTCCCGGGTTCGAAACTCGAGTGTAGCGGCAGTTTCTGTCCTAACGTTTGCCGGTAATACATTGATATTTTTTCTTTTACTCGTTTGATGGCAAATTACGCCTTCTTCAAATTTATACTTAAAACAGGATATTTTTCGGTTACAAAATGTTTTTAATTATCAGATTTTTATGACCTTGAAATGTGCATTCACATAGCAATATATCTGTTCATTTATTAATGCTGCTTATAAATTATACAACTTGATCCACATCCACAAATGAGACATTTTATGAGAAGTATGCGAATTCTTCTTCACGCCCTAGGGAATTATTCACCTATGCTAAGACATAATATATATAGCATGTACTTTAGAGACCTTGAATTCAAGCGTGACGGCTCGTGGGATTCAAAATTATTGGGCAATTTGGAACTCTTTTTTTAAAACCGAAAGATACCCTGTCTTCAAGTATAAACTTTTTATAAGGCGTAAGTTGCTACCAAACGAATAAAAGAAACAATATTTTTGTACATGCTTTCTGTGAAGTATATTTGAATTTATAAGGATAGTGAAAATAAGTAAAAAAATGCATGCTACGTAAGTAGACATTTTTTAAAGAATGCACTTTTGGCAGGCGGTCAAAAACCGGCATCCTGACGTGACCGAAATATATTGACAGTAGGCTGTACCAGCATCATCGTTTTCAAGAAAAGACGTTACTTGGGAAATAAGGTAACTTTATCCAGTAAATTTTTGACGCTGGATCCCCAGATCGTCGTCGTCGTCGTCAGACTTGAAAAATGTGCAGCGAAAAATTAAAATTTAAAAGTTGTTAATTAGCAGTTATGCTATCACCACTGCCAATTTTGTCCACCATGGACTGACACAAATTGCAGCGGCCGATTAGCGCCCACACCATATGACTAAATAACTGTACCCGCACTTTCGAAGTTTTAAGTGTTCGTTGCACATTTTCTTACGTCTGACGAAGACCTGGGGATCCAACATCGACGTTTTACTGAATAAAGTTGCCTTATTTCCCAAAGAACGCCTTTGGGATGCCTGCCTTTCAGATCATCATTCTCTCAGGCAGCAAGTTGTTCGAATCGAGAACCCATTTCAGAGTTTCGTTGGACATGTCATGAGGTAGGGTATTTACCGTACGCATTGGTTTAGACCAAGTATGTAATTACTAAAAAAAACAGTGCACATGCCTACAGTCTGACCGGCGTTGATCAGTTTGGCAGGGATCTAAAAGGGTGAACATGTTTAGTAACCGCTTACTTACAATTTTTAAGTAGGTTTAATTTTCCCCAATCTCCCAATTTTTCGCACGCCGGCCGTTGGTCCAGTAGGGATCGGATGATGATAATGAACTGTAGAGGGGTCCTCGGAAGGCCACCATGTACAATAACCGCTTAAGCCAGTTTATTAAGTAATATGGCTTTTCAAATTAACCATGGGAATAACCGCTTACTTACAAATCTTAGGAGGATGAAGTTCCACAATCTTCCAATTTTTCCACTCGTTCGCCGTTATTCTTGTTGGGGTTAGTGATACAATTAAAAATGTACCTCAGTGACCTCGCCCAAGGCCAGCGAAC